GGTTTAGATGCATGTTGGTTAGTATAGGATTGAAGAAGGTGCTTTGGGAAAGAGCTGTTGTAACTGCATCATACCTGATAAATAGGTCCCCATTGGCTGCATCGGGAATGAAGACACCTAAAGAAGTCTGGTCAGAAAATTCACCTAGTCTCGACAAACTTAGAGTATTTGGTTGTTTAGCCTATGCTCACATTAGGCAAGACAAGGTCGAACCAAGAGCTCTGAGATGTATGTTCCTTGGGTACCCTGAAGGAGTCAAAGATTATAGGCTGTGGTGCCTAGAGCCAGGTCACAAAAGGTGTATCACAAGTTGAGATGTAGTTTTCAATGAAGTTGAGATGACTTTCAAGAAAATTGATGACGTTGGTCGAAGTACAAAGATCTCTGTTGAGGTGGAGCCTTATGTTGAATTGCATAACCCAGATGAAGTCGAATAAGAAGTAGAAGTTGCTAATGAAGATGAGGAGACTGATAATGAATATCTTCTAGCAAGAGACACGTTGAAAAGAGTCATCAAGCTACCTTAGTGACTTGGTTGTGCATATCTCATAACTTATGCCTTAATTTCTGCAAGTGAGATTCTAGAGAAGAACCTAGAGACTATAAGGAAGTTATGAGGAGTCAAGACAAGACTGAATGGTTGAAATCCATGGATGATGAGATGAAATCTCTTCATGATAATAACACTTGGGAGGTGATCGAGAAACCTACAGGGCCCATGTTAGTGTATTGTAAGTGGATTTTCAATGTTAAGGAAGGAATCGAAGATTGATGTTGAAGCGATTTAAGGCAAGGTTGGTTGCTAAAGGGTTCACTCAAAAAGAAGATGTCAACTTCAATAATGTGATGTCACCTATTATAAATCATAAATCCATTAGAATATTGTTACCCATGGTGGCAAAGTTCGAACTAGATCTTGAATAAATGGATGTGAAGACAACCTTCCTGTATGATAATCTAGATGAAACAATCCCGATGAAGCAACCTGAGGGGTATGAAGAATATGGAAAGGAAGATTATGTGTGCAAGTTGAAAAAGTCTTTGTTTTCAGAAAAAGATTTGTTCATACCCTTAAATAGTTTTTATGATAACAAAGTATTTAAAGAACAATAGGATTTCCTAACATATGTTAAAGTATGCATGATCATAAACTAAAGAATTCATCATTAATTATATTTAAAGCATAAGTGAAGAAGCAATACTCAGATTCTGGATGATCATAATCTGAATATGTTCATCAGACTCTAAAGGCGTCAAACTCTGGTCACATAACCCAACTTCTGATGACAACTTAGTTTCTGAAGACGTGGAGAGCAGTTGATCTGTACACTGCACCAAAACATATTTAACTTATCAAAGCCCCAGATTTCTGGACAGAGTCAACTAGGGTTTAGTTTTGTGAGGCTCAAGGATGGCGATGTGACCTCTTCATTTTGTACAACCTTTTGGTAGATACCTAGTTACTCAAAAGGTGTTGTGGGCAATGCTATTATTCAGTGGATAAAGCTTCTGACCATATGCAAGTCTCCAACGTCTCTCTTGGCATACTTCTTCATTAAGTTTGTTGTTGTTCAGACCTCTAAAGACTCTTTTTCTATCTCTATAAAAGGAAGCTAAACACTCAAATGAAGGTTACAACATTATAACACATTGAAAGATCTTAACATAACTCTGAGCTATTATTGTAACTGTTATAGTATAAGATCTTAAGACTTCTTATCTTAGATTTATCTTAGAAATCTTAGAAACTTTATAAACCTTTGTGATTGTTGCACAACTGTTATACTTCTGATTGTTTATTAAAGTATAGTAGTTATCTTGTCTACTAAATAGTGTTTAAAGTAGAAAAAGTATCTTACCTGCGTGCTTGATCAAGGAAGTCTTGAACCAAGGGTTCAAGCCGGAAGTATCATTCTATGTAGATTGAGCATTGAAGTCTCATGCATGAGGGCATAGCAGGAAGTCTCAATCAGTGTGATTGAGCATTAAAGTCTCATGCTTGAGGGCAGAGCAGGAAGTTTTGATTTGGTATGATTGAGAAGAAAGTCTTGAACTTATGGTTTAAGCAAGGAAGTCTCAATCTAGATAGATTGAGCAGGAAGTCTTAAATAGGTTGTTTAGGAAATGAAGTCTCATGCTTGAGGGCTTGAGCAAGAAGTCTTGAACCGAAGGTTTAAGAAGGAAGTCTTAAGTTGCTAGCTTAAGCAATTGTAGTCTGATTAATTATAGTTAAAAGCTCTTGTGCTGCAAGGGGACTGAACTACTCTCAATTGAGAGGAACCATGATATATTGTGTGTGTCTTTATTTACTTCTACATTTACATCCTGCTGTGTAACAAGCTTTGAAGTCAGAATTCAATTTGATTCAACCTTTTACTTGGACCAGAATCTGAGCTTGACACCTTAGTTCTGAAATAGGGTTAAGAAAAGGAATTAAACTCACCGTTGTTACTCACTATGATACCAAACTATGAACTTGGTTTAGAATCTGATGTTTCCAAATCAGAAGTGAAAAAATATTTTTGGGCATACATAACTCACCCTTTCTTATGTATTTTCCTCACCTTTATTTGTATGTCCCGAAACAATCTCCTCAATAATGGAATAAGATATTCGACAAGTTTATGGCACACATCAGTTTCACTAGGATCCAGTTCGACCAATGTGTTAATTTCATATTTTGACCTGGAAATTTACTTGTTATTTTATTTCTTTATGTGGATGACATCCTCATAGCAAACAACAATGTTGAAGATGTCATGAAGGTGAAGGCTGAACTCGATAAGGAGTTCGACACGAAGGAACTGCGAGCTGCCTCCAGGATTCTTGGGATTGACATCCAGAGAGATAGAAAGAAGTCAAAATTATGCTTATCTCAAGAGACATATCTGAAGAAGATTCTCGACAAGTTTGGTGTATCGAATTCAAAGCATGTTCTAACACCAGCTAATCCTCAGTACAAGATGAGTACGACTCAAAGTCCTAGTACTGAAGTCGAAAGGGCATATATGAATAACATTCCATATGTTAGTATAATAGGTTCTTTGATGTATGTTATGGTTTGTACGAGGCCAGATATAACATATGCAGTGAGCCTTGTAAGCAAGTATATGGCCAATCTTGGGTACATCAATTGGTCTCTGAGTATAGTCATAATTTATGATGGAGTCTGTGGTGATGATAACAAAGTCGAAATCGAAGGATTTGTCGATTCTGAATATGCAGGTTGTAAGGATTCTAGAATATCTATTTATGGATATGTCCTCACTATGTTTGACAGGACAATCAGTTGGAAGTAACTCTTTAGAAGGTTGTTGCCTTATCAACCACTGAAGCGGGGTATATCACCCTCATTGAAGTTGTGAAAGAAGCATTATGGCTTGAAGGTTTTTCTAAGGAGCTGAAACTTCAAGGTCGAGTTATCACTGTTAAGTGTGATGGTCAAAGTGCAATACATATGTCGAAGAATTCAGCCTATCATGAGCGAACCTAGCACATTGATATGAGGGTGCACTTCGTTAGAGAGATAATCGAGTGTGGAGAAGTCCAAGTGCTGAAGATTTTGACTGATGACAATATTATTGATATGAATACCAAGACATTGCCAAGTTGCAAGTTCTTCCATTGTATGCAATTGAAAAAGCTTCATGATGAAAGCTAGTTTGTTCCCTTGTTAGTGTAGAGTTTGTTCCAAGGTGGAGATTTGTGGTGTTTTGGATCGAACTCTAGTCTCGACGGGGTTAGGTTCATGGTTCAAAAAAGTTTAGTATGTAGTCGAAGTTTGCTCACATGTCAATCATGTATGCTGTAGTCGAAGTATGCTCAAGCATGCAGTAGGCGAAATGCTAAGATTGTTAGCATGTCGAATTGGACCTTGCTTGTAAGCTCAATTGTTAAGTTAACTTGTAGCATAAGTTAATAGTTTATAAATAGACTAGTTCTCTCAGGTTGTTGAGAGAGAAGTTAATTGTTATTATTCACTTGTAATCTTTGAATCCTTAATGAGAAAATAAATATTAAAACAATTATAACCAATCATGATTCTTCTTCTTTCTTCTTCTCTCTCTTTTGTAAAACTTAATTAAAAAATTTGTATTTGTTTAAAAAACTCAATCTTTATTATATTTTAATTATTCTTAAAAATTCACAGCAGGTACATAGTTTTTTTCCTCTCTTTCTCCAATTCTTTTAATCTTCGTCTTTTTCTTGTGTATCAATGAAATTTTGTTGTTAACTCCAATTAATAAGAATAGACAAATGAGAAGAGTTTTATATATATTTAATGGACATATTTCATATAGAAAATAATTTAATGGACATGTATGATATAAAAAATAATTAATTGAATAAAAAATTTGTAAGGAAGTAGTAGAGATGAAAAAAACATGTGTTTAGTAACAAGTTATTACAAATGACTCTTCATGAATCGTGTTTAAAAAGCAAAGCAAAACAAAACAACTCTTGAAATTTGAAAACCAACCAAGCAAGGTCACCAAGCTATAACCTATGTGCCGCTGCTGATGCTTCAATGCATAATTCACGTTCATAATCTCCACCTCCCATGAATCCGTTTCAAAAAAACTTGCGTAATTTTAATTTAATTTTGTCTTACTATTAAACTTTTTGAATTACAATGACACCAAGCAAGAAACAACAAGTTGCATTCCATTCTATTCCCAGAATCACCTCTCTCTCTTTCCGAGCGCATGATTAAAGAACCCACCTTCCCAATCCTACGTGTCACTCTCTCATTGGTCCATTCCCTCTCGTCGGGATTCATACCAACAAACCAATAAACGTTGCCAGTCATTCTCACTCTACTCTCTCTCCTCTTTCTCTCTCTCTTCACTTTCTCTCTCATTTTGTGTTTTCTTCTCCCACAATTCCCCTATTTTCTTCCTCATTCTACCTCCTTTTTCCCCTGAAATTCTCCAATACGTAACTAACAATGCACGATCTTCCATAAAACGCAATTTTAGTTTTTTTTTTCTGAATTGGAAATGCTTCAAGCGATGGAAAGTTCAGTGAATGGTGGTGGATTCTCTCATTTGCAAAGCTGTGGTGGTGATAGTAGTGAAGAAGAGCTATCGGTGCTACCTCGCCATACGAAAGTGGTGGTCACCGGAAACAACCGTACCAAATCGGTGCTCGTCGGTCTTCAAGGTGTTGTTAAGAAAGCCGTTGGATTAGGTGGATGGCATTGGCTGGTAAGTTTCAACGCAAATTCTCAATTTCTTCGTTTTTATTTAATTTTCGATAATTAATGTGTTTTTAAATTTTTATTTGCATTTTCATGAATTCAACCAATTTTCCTCTGTCGGTCAATTTTTTCAAAAAATATTTATAATTTTATTACAGCACTCCTTTAATCATATGCTTAAATTTAATCGTTTTTAAGGCATTAAATAATTGATTACGGTTTTATTATTTTTTTTTATAAATTAATTCGAGAGGTTTTAATTGATTAAATGTGTTCTAAACCCTACTCTTTGAATTCTTATCCAAATCATTCAAACCTCATAATTTTCAATTTGGATTCTCAAAATGTTGGGGTTTTCTTGTTGAAATTTGAATAGAATTTTTGAGTTATAATTTTGAATCACAATTTTGAGTTAAATTTTCTATTGCATGTTTTTCTAAATTGCTGGATCTGGTGTTTCCCAGGATCAATTGTTAATTAGTTTTTTTTCTTAAGTTTTATTCATATATGCAGAAATTTTGTATTTTAGGGTTTGAGCTCTGAATTGAGTATATTACCTCCTTTGGTATAATTTTCCATTTTTTATTAAATCATATTTGTGGATTTTCTGAATCTAATGGAGATTTTATTCAGATTCTTGCATGTTCTTCATATGCATTTTTATTGTTTTTCATGGTGAAAAGTAGTTACATGCATGTTCTCTCACACTGCTTTTATTGCAAAATTGAAAAATCTAATGAAAATTGGCCAAGAACTTAAATTATTGTAGTGATGGTTATTTTATTTTACATTGTTATTATATTGGTATACATGAATGCAGGTTCTTACAAATGGTATTGAAGTGAAGCTACAAAGGAATGCTCTTAGTGTGATTGAAGCACCAACTGGTAATGAGGAAGATGATGACCTTGAATTTGACAATGTACCATGGAATGGATCAGATATGGGTGAGTTTACACTTTTTACACCTTCTACCTTTGTTAATTCTGACAAGACCATCTCAATATTGACTGAATTAAGTTTATCATTTTGTTTTCTCCTTCAATGTAATTAATTCCTATCTGTTTCTGCACCTAGTACACAAGTTAGAATGCTGTGATGTTTTACTGTTAGTTTATGAATGTTTGTTTTTGCTTCCATGACTTTTCAAATTGACAGAGTTTGGTAACATTGGATCCTTTATGTGTACCTCCTTTTTCTTTTTTTTTTTGCTCTATATATCAAAAGGCTCTAGTTAGTGTCTTGCTTTTTTTTTTCTTAATTTTTTATTGACCCCACCACACCACTATTTTTTGAAATAAATAAAAGTGTGTACTTGTTTGATTTTTTCAGCATCGGACGACACACACAAGTCTCACAAATCGAGGCACAGAATGCATAGATCATTGGGATCATGTCACAAGACAATGAGTAGGTCCTTCTCTGGTGATTCACAGTCTAAGGGGTCCGTTACTATGCCTCATGGGTCCATGGTATATATCATATCAGCTTTACTTCTTTTTCATAATTTATTTCTCCACCCACTGACAAATGAGATAATTTATTCCTTGATACGTAACTTTTAATTATTTATGTTTTTATTTTTTATTTTTTTGTATATTTTCTGCAGAAAGTTGACTTGAGCAAGCTTGAAATGGCTGCATTGTGGAGATATTGGCGACATTTTAATCTTGTAAATTCTAATCCCCTATGGAAGATGCTTATTGCAGTCTGAGAGTGTTTTTGGTACTTAATTCATAAATGGATTTGCATTTTGCAGGTGGATGTCGTCCCAAATCCATCTAGAGAGCAGCTTCTAGATGTTGTTCAGAGACATTTTATGTCCCAGGTACCTTAAAATTGGTGTTTGCTTATTTGTTTTTGGTAACTACTACTAGTTGCCATGGAAATAAAGTACTACTCTTCAGGAGCATGTGCTCATTAGAATAATAACATTAAAATAATCTCATCAATGTCTATCTTCAATTTTTTTTTTATAAAATATTGTGATGTTTGTAATTGATGCTTTTGTATTTTTGAGCTGCATATCATATCATGTTTCTATCTTTTTCACAAATTACGCCTAATTTATAGTTTATTTGATGACGGGGCAAGTATGCCACATAAAGATGCATGAATAGTGGTGTGCTTGCGTGTGTGCGTGGGAGTATGATGTAGAATTTGATGAAGTTTTTGGCTGTTATCATAGTTTTGTCCTGAAATTGTGTTTCTTTCTCGTGAAGCAAATACTGGACGAGTTGCAGGTGATTAAGGGATTTGTCAATGCTGCGAAGAGGCTCAAGACCGTGTGCAAATGAGATTTGGGTGATGCGAGAAATGACGAGCTATGGTAAATTATATGCTAACAGAGATAAAATGTATCTAGTGTTCACTTCCCTTTGAATTATGTAACATACTTATCGGGAATCTGTGTCTTTCTAATATAGTATATTAGGTTAATAGTTTAAGGTTATAGAGGTACTAATTACTGTGTGGCCACCCCAGTTATTATGTAGATATATGCGACCTTAGGGAAGTCGATCTTCAAGGCTTTCCTTTCCAAGTTTGACTCAATGTATTGCTGACCTGGGAAGTGAGCTTTTAGAGACCTTATTGTATATATAAATATTTTAGTTTCTCTCAACTTCGATTCTTCTGATCAGATGAATTTCTTCTTTGTTCATGCCAATCTGCACCGTCCTAAGGTAAGATTGTTCAAAGAGTTTTAGGTTTTTTCTTAGTTCATTATAAATGAAAAAATTGCGAACTGGAAACATTTTGTGATTGAACAATGTTGGATAACTTTAGAATATAATAATAAGCTTTTTTTTTGTTTGTTTTTTTTCTCTCTTTAGGAAGAGAATCAAACAAACTTTCTCAAGCTTTCTCATTTCCTTTCTACTTTGCGCTCTTTTTCTCTCCCTTTGCTTGCTTTCATTCATTTGCATTTATTTGTATTTGTATTATCTATTCAAAAGGAAATTATCTCTCTTAGTTAAGTGTCCTCGATTCCAAACAAAGCTATTCAAGAAAGTAAGATAGTGGGGCTGGAACATGGCTGAGGGAGTGAGATTTTGTATGGAGTAGGGACATGACCAATTGAGCTTTAGTAATTTACCATTGACCAACTATATTTAAGATAATCAATAGTATTGATTTTATTGTTCTCGACTTTCTAAGACTCTTCAACAGGATGATATCTAACACTCTCCACCATTGTCATTATCATGATTGTTGTTTGGTAGTGAGTACTATCTTTTTGGTCGGTATCAATTTCAATGCATTTTGTTGTTACTGTCTAGGAGATGGGAGTGGGTTCTCTCCCAGTCCTCTACTAAAAATATAAGAAATATAAAAAGATGATGTTTTAATGGTGAGGATGATCACTGTTCCCTCTCTAAAATCTCTAGTAAAATTTATATTTGAGGGAATCCTTTCCTTAAAGAGACTAAGAGCATATATAATGGGAGAATTAATTTTTAATTCTTTGAGTTATTTTTGTGTGAAATTAATTGCCACATTGCACTTAAGTAATTTAAATCAGTTTTATTTTAATGGTGATTTTAATAAACAATCTATAAGATTAATAAACTTTAATGATAAACAACACACTTTTTCATTGTTTCATGAAACAACTTACACAAAAATTTTAAATAACGCATGCTAAAAATATTAAGTTTGGGAACTTATAAATTTACTAAGCAACCTCTATTGTGTTCATATATTGTGTTCATAAATTAGTGTAATTCAAGTCAATGCAACATGTTACACTAGTTTTTTAGACAAATTTTTAAGGTAGAGATTTGGAGCAACACGGATTGCACCTATGTATTGTCTAAGACAAAGTTTTAGAATAATTGGTTGCACTAAATGTGCAATTGGAAAGTTTATTTTTCTCATTAGTTAGTTAGTTAGGTGTATTATTTTGTAAGATGGTTTAAATATCTATGTTGAGTCATTCATGTTAGAATGACATATTTTCACCCTAATTCTGTCATTGTCTTCATCTCTCAATTATTCACCTTTGTTCTTGTGATTGAGATTTTACCCAACATTTGACATCGAAAGTCGGGTTCTTTGATCAAAGACTTAGTGTCGAAAATGTTTTCCATCTTCAATGAACGTATCCTTGTAAATCACCTGATTCTCGATGCGAAAAATTATGACAAGTGGTGCAAACAGTTGAAGGTGATGTTTGGTTATCAAGATGTTCTTGAAGTGATCAAGAACGAAGTTTATCCACTTGTAGAATGTACAGTGGCTACACAAAGAACTACATACAAGGAGGAGGAGACAGAAGATTTCAAAGCTTTGTATCTCATTCATCAATATGTTGATGCTAACAACTTTAGAAGGATGGTGACTGCACATCCTCAAAGCAAGCTTGAGAACTATTGGAGAAAAGTTATGCAGGAGCTAATAAGGCAAAGGTGGTGAGGTTACAAACTCACAAGAGGCAACTGGAGTTAATTTAAATGGAGGAAAAGAAATCCATTAGTGAATTTACTATAAAAATCACAAGATTGGCGAATCAATTACTGAGCAGTATATGGTTGGTAAAATCTTGATATCATTGACGTCAAGATTCAATAACATAATGGTTTTCATTGAAGAGTCCAAGGATCTTTCAACTATGTGCAAAGAAGAGTTGCAAAGTTCTCTTGGGGCTTGTGAGCAAAAAATGAAGGAGAGAAATGTTGACAAAGCAAAGGTTGAAGTTGCTTTGCAAGCTCGTTTCATTGGAAAGGACAAGAAAGTGAAGCGAAAGTGGTCCATGCGTAGAGGTAGAGGAAACTACCACAACAATGGTGGGAGAGACTCCCAAAGTTTCATCAATTCAACATTCCAAAAGGGTAAGAGTAGCGACAACAAAGGTGGTCGATCAAGCAATTATAGAGGTGGCAAGAATAAAAGAAAGGGAGGTAGATGGAAGAACGACAAGAGCAACGTTCAATGTTACAACTGCCAAAAGATTGGACATTTTGCTCGCGAATGTCATGCCAACAAAAATGATCGACAAAAAGCTGAAGAAAATTTTGCAAGGAAAGATGATGATGATAGCACATTGTTAATGGTGATTGTTGAAGCAGAAAACAATGTAGAAACATGCAGTCAAAGTCGGGTACAATCACTTGAAACGTGATGGGGACTCCGCGAGATGACGCATAATACAACGATCAATGCTACCTTGACTATGGGTGTTGAACGCACTTGACAGAAAGGAATGAATGGTTTGTTAAAATCAATCAAGTAGTGAAGAACAAGGTGAAATTTACGGATGATAACATACTTGCATCAGAAGATATTGACGATGTATTAATAAAGAGGAATAATGTTGAGCATTCCTTGATTAATCATGTGTTATATATTCTGAGAATTAATATATAATGTTTTAAACATTGACCAATTAATTGAAATGAGTTACAAGATTCACATGGAAAACAAAGTGCTGAAAGTTATGAATGCAAATGAAAGTTTGATCCTAAAGGCCCTTATGGATTAAAACATAACTTTCAAAGTTGAATTAAAAGTAATGGAGCATAAATGTCTTACAATGACTGCTAGTAAAGAAGAATGGATATAACACTATAGGCTTAGGCATTTGAATTTCAAGGATCTCAATGTTATGCACAAAAACAACATGGTTACGGGACCGCCGTCGACCGATATGCTAACTGAAGTATGTGAAAAGTGTGTGCATGCCAAGCAACACTGAGGTAGATTTAGCAAAGATGCATGATGCGAAACCAAGTGTCATCTTGATTTGGTGTATTCGAATGTTTATGGACCGGTGCAAGTTAACTAAATCAAAGGGAATAGGTACTTTATCACTTTGATTGATAATTTTAGTAGAAAGTTGTGAACTTACTTGATTTATACAAAAGATGAGGTGCTGGAAGTATTCAAGAAGTTCAAATCAATGATGCAAACACAAAGTGATCAAAAAATCAAAACTCAACAAATAGATGATGGAGGTGAATATGTCTCAAATGATTTTAGGAAATTTTGTGATCAAGAGGGCATTGTACATGATGTGGTGTCACCATATACACTACAACAAAATGGAGACGCTGAGAGAAAGAGTCGATCAATTATGAACACGGTGAGAAGCATGTTGAAAGGAAAGAACTTACCAAAAGATTTATGGGGAGAAACGGTGTCTACAGGTGCATATTTGTTGAATAGGTTTCTAACGAAGAAGCTGAAAAATATTACATTTGAAGAATCTTGGTCAGGATTCAATCCAAACCTGAGTCACTTGAATTTATTTAGTTCGGTAGCGTATATACATGTTCTGGATCAGGTTAGAAAGAAGTTATATGACAAGGGAGAACAAATGATACTTGTTGGGTATCACTTTACCGCTAGATACAAAATCTATGATGCAGTCAATTAAAGAAGCGTAATCAGTACATATGTGATTTTTGATGAATTGAAGGACAAACAACGTGCAAAATTTAACATAAATGATGTTGGAATTGTTTCTCCAATGAAGTTCAAGTTGAAGAAAATGTGAGAAGATCTACTAGGCAAAGAGGCATGCCAACAAGACTACATGATTATGAGTTATTCCCGGATAGTAATGGTGATCTTGTCCATTTTGAGCTCATGGTTGAATCTGAATCCGTGAAAACTGAGGAGACCTTAAGTGATCCAAAATAGATGTCTTATGAACGAACACACAAGTAAGGAGGACTTAAGGGATTTGAATTAAGGTAGTGTGTTGAAAAAGTAGTGTAATTCAAGTCAGTGCAACAGGTAGTAGTAGAAGTGCAATAAGTTGCATCAGCGTTAATTACAAGATAGAGATTTGGAGCAATAAGTTGCTCCAAATATGCAACCGATTGCACATGTGTATTTTCTGAGACAAAGATTTACAGCAATCAATTGTATTAAATGTTTAACTGATTGCGAGTTTGAAAAAAAAACTATTTTTTTGATTAATTGATTAGCTGTATTATTTTGTTGGTGATTTAAATATCCCTGTTAGATCATTAATCTTAGAATGTCATATTTTCATCATAATTCTTTATAATTCTATCATTCTTTTAATGTCTCAATTATTCACCATTATACTTGTGATTGAAGTTTTACCCAATCCATCATACTCTAATACTCTTCTAAAATAATTGATAAAAAAAATTCATCAAAAGCATTCTCTCCAATAGAAAGATGTGTAACATTTTGTATCAATATTTAAATTTATGTTTTAATATTTAAAATCCTTACATTCTTAACATCACAAAAGAAATTCTAGCATTTATTTGCAACAAAATAATATTCTTTGATTGGAGTGATAACTTATTTTGTGGGGCAT